GCTGTACAGGCAGTAAGTAAAGGAATCCCCAAACCAGCAGTGCCTTGCCAGGGCCCTGCTAAGCTTTCACCACAGGCAATCGCTGTCCTTATGTGAATCAGGGAGACATGTACCACCTAGCGACTAAATCAGCCAGATGGTGGGGCTTCTGGCATGGCCTACTCTTAGCTGGACATCCGGGGAACCGGAAACGTCGGACCGAAACGGAAATAAACTTTGAAAGACTAGCAATTGCCGCTATTACGGTGCTGCAGTGAGCGCTGAGATTCAACCAAAGAATTTCCATTGTGACTAGTAGTATGAAACTTTGACCCGTCCAGAATACAAGAAAAAGTTTTGTTTTCAGATTTGGCTGCTGTTTAGAGCAATGAGTCTCGGGAAAGAAGACTTTTTCTCCTAAACAGCTCCCAAGTTGGATAAAGATCTATTGTGACCCATGACAGTACTTTTCTAATCACCACTTCCATTTCTTATACCTAGTATAGGCTGGAGCTCAAAGTAAAGGACATTGAAATTACGTGTTATGAGATTTCGCGGAATTATCAAAGCCAGTAGTGAGATTATTGACAATAAGCTAACAACTATGGTATTAAATACCGCTTACATTGTCGCTTGGTTCTCATTTCGTAAGATTTTGCTTGATCAGAATTGTGCGAAGAATGAAAGAAAAACATTGAAACGGCACAATAGCGTGATTATTACAGCCTGACATGCTGGTGCACCGTAGGCTCCTTCTTCCCGCCGAAGTGGTTCTATGAATTAGATAGCATAGTAGCAGCGTGGCTTGAATTGGCTCTTTATTCTATAACAAATGTCTTTTATCAGTCGCCACCTGTGAATTAAGGTGAGGAGCAACTATCCTGCGCATATATGCATAGATGATCTTCAAGAAATTTTTTTTAGAATGCAAGGACCAAATTCGAAGTTGGTTTGCTAAACAGATTTTCTGTGTGTTCATCTTTTCGTGTCACGTTAGCTGACATGTGATGTTTTCTGACATAATTTAAAGATATGTTACATAACCAAAGCGACTATGAAATTTTCATAAGAGAAGATCCGTAGGAGGTTTAAGTCGGATAAAATGGATTAAACGGAAAAGTCGTAGGCTCTAGTGCAACTCGGCTCTAATGACGTAAATATGTAGAAATGCCAATGATGAAATCATTCTAGACATGGAAGAAAAGAAGTGTTCTCATGTGCAGGGATACGTGATTGTGTGCGTTTTTTCACTGACAGAGGCCACGACGATGTTCTAGTCTTTATTCCGCAATTCAGGTAAATTCTTACACTTTTCAATTTACCGTA